TGCACATTTGGGCGGCATTATGCTAATATTTCCACATATTGATGTAGATATGTGGGGGCGTGTTAGAACGAGCCGTTTTAGGTAGGCGTGGGTGACTCTTAACTTTTATAAAGAATATCTCTTTGGTTTTGAGACTTTAGTCTTTGCAGCGTTATAGATCTTCTTTATGCACCAATAGCTTGTAACACTCCAAAGAGAAAGGAAAACTTGAAATCGCATCATATGACCCCTTTAAGTGGAACAAGGGATAAGCACACGCAAAACACAGTGCAACATATCTGATGTCTTTTCGCTTCTCTGTGGTCAGTAACTGTCCTTTACATAGTGGCAGTGTCATCACTTTTGAGAAATGTAGTTTATGGACAGCTGTGAGTTGCATATGAGAAAATGTGAGGATTCGGAGGAGTCAGTTCCTATAAAAGGTTTTTCAGGACCGACTGACAGTTCCTGCATCTATGCTGATGAATTGTCTGTTGCATGGTTGCATTTCGTGTTAGACTCAGCCTTTAGTTCGCTGTTTTGTGGCTGGACTGCGACTGTGGCATTGGAACAGGAAGATTATTAATAACCACAGAGAAGTGTCATGTGTTTAATTGTGGTTTCTTTTTGTTTGCAGCCTACTATAATAACAGCACAAAAGTGGCGGTAAAAACGCTGAAGCCGGGCACAATGTCAGTGGAGGCTTTCTTAGAGGAGGCCAACCTGATGAAAACCTTACAGCACGAAAGACTCGTGCGCCTCTATGCTGTCGTCACCAAAACTGAGCCCATCTACATCATCACTGAGTTCATGGCAAATGGTACAAGAAATACATACTCTTTTAATGATTAAAATGAGAGAACTGTGAGAGTTACAGTTGAAGAAATCTGTAGTTGTAAGAAAATTGTATTCTCAGCGACTTTCTTTTTCTACAGGAAGCTTATTGGATTTCTTGAAAAGTGCGTCTGGCTGCAAAGTACAGTTACCGAAGCTAATAGATTTTTCTGCACAGGTAAAACTATTGGTTCAAGACATGAATTAGCCTTCTCTTCTCTTAGCTGTCCATTTCCGTATTCCTGGGGTTTACGGGTTTACGTATTTACGTGTTTTTGCGTCATGAGGCTGACATCACTTTTTCCATTAGTTGAAGAAAAAGAGGAACAGATTCTCTTGTCTCTGCATATTTGAACACAAAGAATAATCAGTCAGTCAGTCGTTTTCTCAAGAATGAAAGATCTCATTAGATTTACAAATCTAAGTTTAAGTTCGAATTTCTATATCATGTGTCAACCAGAATAATGATGATGTAACTTGTATTAATGAATTGGAAAAATGAAGAAAAAAAATGTCTGGTTAAAGTATCATGGACATCATACAGTATTTACAGTCATAACCAACTGCTTCAAAAGTCAATCATTTTAATTGTCTTTTGGAAAAAAAAAAAAAACTAAATGCAAGGAAGAATGTTTGTTTTCGGTATGAGTCTTAAGGACTTAAAGATCTGATTTCTGGTGAAACAGCACTAAATGGCAAAATTGCACATCCTGTTTCAGAGAGTGAAAGAGGATGCCAGTGGGGAAGTGAGACAACACAATTTTCCCTTTGTTAAAGCAACTTTTACGCTGTTAAAATTAAGTGAGAAATGCGACTACACCCATTTCTGAAGTGGAAAAAAAAAACATAAACTGCTGATTTACTATGATCTACTCTGCTAACTGGCTAATTTATGTCCTCATGCATGTGCACTACTGTTCAAAAGTTTTGGGTTGTCAGAAATCTCGTATGCTCACCAAGGCTGCATTTATTTGATCAGAAATACAGTAAAACAGTAATATTGTGAAGTATTATTACAATTTCAAATAACTTTTTTCTATTTGAATAGATTTTAAAATGTAATTTATTCCTGTAATGGCAAAGCTGAATTTTTCTTCAGTGACACATGATCAGATCTAATATGCTGATTTGGTGCTTCTTTTCTTAAAAGTATCAATGTTGAAAACAGTTGTGCTGCTTAATATTTTTGCGAAAACTTTTTTCAGTGTTCTTTGATGAATAGGAAGTTAAAAAGAGAGCACTATTTTTGTTATACAAAATATTTTGTAACATTATAAATGTCTTTACTGTCTTATATGTTCAATTTATTGTCAATTTAAAAAAAACCTTACTGACCTCAAACTGCGTGTATGTTTGTTTATGTGTCAGTGATGCCGAGTTTGTGTGTGTCTCTGCAGATAGCTGAAGGTATGGCCTACATTGAGAAGAAGAATTATATCCACCGAGACCTGAGAGCAGCTAATGTGCTGGTTTCAGACAGCCTGTTGTGCAAAATAGCTGATTTTGGCCTGGCCAGAGTAATTGAGGATGACCAATACACAGCCAGAGAAGGTGAGTGTGTGACACCTTTCAGTGGTTTAGCAGCATATTGGATGGACAAGTCATTCTCTACAGCATTACTATGTCAGACACCGCTCCAGACTGTGCCTGCTAAGGCTGTTAATCACACTGATGTTGTGATAGTTTTCCTGCATCAGCAGACCTGACTGATCTTTGTGAATTTGTGTGCTCTGTGTCTCAGGAGCAAAATTTCCTATCAAATGGACGGCACCCGAGGCCATCAACTACGGTTCTTTCACCATCAAATCAGATATGTGGTCCTTTGGGGTTCTCCTGTATGAGATTATAACATACGGGAAAATTCCGTATCCAGGTAATAGAATTGTGTTAATGGCACCTTGATTACATTTGAGTTTAAATAAAGCATTCCAACACCAGTATATTGAGAGCTATCAGCATTACTCCTCCAAGAGAGAGCTACATGTCACAAAACTGATTCTTTTGTCAGGACTTTTTCGACATCTACTGGTCAAAGTGTGTTAGATACTTTAAGCATTTCAGTTTTGCTCAGTTTGAAATATCTGAAACTGTGAATTGTGTCATTTCTGTGATGCAAATGTTACCGAATGTAATTGTGAAAATAATGACTTGCATCCTGAGCACTCATTGGTTGAGAAATATATTTAGCTCTATATTAAGCTATATTAAAGGGGTCATATGACGTTGCTAAAAAAGAACATTATTTTGTGTATTTGGTGTAATGAAATGTGTTTATGCGGTTTAAGGTTAAAAAAACACATTATTTTCCACATACTGTACATTATTGTTTCTCCTCTATGCCCCGCCTTTCTGAAACGCGTCGATTTTTACAAAGCTCATCGGTCTGAAAAGCAAGGTGTGCTGTGATTGGCCAGCTATCCAGTGCGTTATGATTGGCCGAATACATCAAGCGCGTGACGAAAATGTTACGCCCCTTGCCATATTGTGATGATGCCCTGTCAGGCCGCAGCGACGAGACAAAACCAATAAAACCCATTACAAACGAGGCATTTGTTGCATACAGTGGGGACATAATTACGGATTATAATGACCTATACTGTCTTTTTACGTGTTGCGTTGCATCGCGCCGTGTAAACATAAAACCATGTCTGCATTTGTGATCAGAGAAACGACAAACAACAAGCACTACCCTACACTGCTCAAAACTCGCGTTTGAATCATCAGTGGCAAATCCTTAAAATGAAAACGTACTTACAGTCTGTGAGTAAGAACAGCCGGCATTGTAGTCTACTCTACCAGGATCAGGAAACAGTCCTCATTAAAATGCGCTGGACACATCAAAACTTACTTACAGGCTGTGAGTCAGCATTATTTGTCAGAACACCGGCATTTTAGGCTACTCTCCCAGGAAACAGTCCTTGTCCTCCGTAAAATACGTTGCTCACATCTGAATATTTGGGTCGACTGTTCTGGAACAGTATTGTAAATACAACTTAACCACTGATTTCTAGTTGTGTCCTCTTTTGGAAGGCCAAACAAAGTAGTTTCACTTTCACAACGAAACACACAGCGTCTTCACGACATGGCGGCGGCAGCAACAATAATAAAGTTACGCCTTCTTTCTTTGCGTGAACATTTGGGTGGCGTTATGCAAATCTTCCCAGAT